TCCTCACCAACCCCTTCCCCAGTTCCTGCCTCACTTGAGCCCCAGCTCCATCCCCAGCTCAGCCACAGGACCTTCAGCCTCTGGGGTTGGGCCTGTTGGCCCAGCCCTCCATCACAGAGTGACAGCTAAGTAGGGAAAGGATGGTCCTTGGTGGTACCTGGACAGAAAAGCATGGCTGAGTGTGAGTGTTTTAGACCTGGAGGCCAAGGGCAGGGGCTCTGCGTGTCCTCCTCAAGGTCTCTCTCTCTCTTGGGATGTGCTGAGGCAGTAATGTTTGCATGGAATCTAGATGAAACAGCATGGTAGGGAATCTGAGAGACAGAGATGGGGATCAAAGGGACAGAAAGATAGAGATCACAGAATCTGGAGGGACAGGGAGAGGGGAAAATAGGGGTACAGCAGCAGAGAGCTAGAGAGACTGGACTCAGGCACCCAGAAGGACAGGCAGATGGGGCAGCATGGGGGGAAGCAGGAGACTGAGGGTCAGCAACAGGGGAATGAGTCTCAGACCCTAGAGGGCAATGTAAGGGGCAGAAAGTTAAGGGGACAGGGCCAAGAAACTCAGAGGCACAAGGAAACAGAGCAGAGCTGGGCCAGGGCTAGGGCAGGTGGGGATCCCACATAGGCCAGGGTCCGGCTGGGCTGGGGGAGGCTCGGGGCTCCAGGGGCATCAGGCGCAGTGCTAATTCAGCGCCATCGATCAGATGGGATGAGAGCAATAAATTATTGTGACAAGATGCAATCCTGGCCCCTGCACTGCCGCCGAGGCAGATCGATCCCTGTCCCCAGCCCCACACCAGGTCCCATGCCCAGGTCTTGCTGGCCTGGACACCTCTGCCACCTCTCCCTCCATTCTCCCTGTTATACGCTCACTCCCACTGGTGGCCAGGCTGGGTGGCAGTCTTGAGAAAAAAACAGGCCTGGAAGGACCCACAGAAAAGTCCAGTCCTTAGCTGACCCAGGCCCTCTTACTTCTCTCAGCGCACCATCCTCACCACCACATGCAAAGTAGTAACTACCACGATGCCCAGTTCACAGATGTGGAAACTGAGGCTCAGACATGGGGAGTAACTTGGCCCAAGTCCCACAAGGCTGAGTGGTGAAGCCTAGACCTGAATGCAGGTCAACATGACCTCAAGTTCCCCACTATCTCTACTATCAGAAGAGAAAGCAAGGGACAGAGACAAAAAATGGAGAGAAGAGACTGAGACAGGGTTTAATGAGAGTGAGGTGATAGAAACAGAGACATAGAGAGACAGGATGAAGAAGCAGAGGAGAAAGAGGAGACAGAGAGACAGAGTTATAAGGAGATACAGAGATAGACACGGAAAAACAGAGAATAAAGATAGAGCTGGGCAGGGCAATCAAGAAACAAAAATGAAACAAAGCTACAGAGTGATGAACAGACCAGATCAATGGCAGGCAGAGGCAGCAGGGCAGGGAGAGATGAGCAGATGGGGGCAAAGGTGGACACAAAAAAGGGACACAGTGAGGGGTGGCAGGAGGACGCGTATCAGGAGACAGCTCCAGAGACCAGCGGGCATCTGGAGGGGCAGACGATTGTAGGGAAGCACAGGAGTAAGGATGTGGGGTGTCAGCTGTGGTCCCCTGGAGTTAATACTCATGGAAGCCAAGTATGAGCAGGCACTGGAGGGGCAAGATGGAGGGCGAAAGCACAAGGTTGAGAGGAGCCCAGTGATGAAGCAAGGGCTGGCAGAGCACCTAGCTGGACAGGTGTGTCTCCGAGGAAGGAGGTCACCTGCTGGGCAGGTATGAGAGACCAGCAAACCTGGAAGACAAGGAAACAGTCTCTGAAGTCAGGCTGCCTCGGTTTGACTCAAATCTCCAGTAACTCGCAGTGTCTGAGATCTCAAAAAAGTTACTTCACCTCTCTGGACTCAGTTTCCTTCTCTGTAAAATGGGGACAGAGATTCAGTAACTGCGTTATAAAGGGTCCCATGAGAGGAAGTAAAATGATGGACATCCTGTCACAGGGACACTTTTAGTCCTCAGCAGCGGTCATCATTGCCATCATCATGGCCATCAGTATGCAAGGGACAGGAGGTGCAAGACACCAGTGGAGAACACAGACCAGCCAGATACTACTCGGAGTGTGGGATGCGGACCAACAGGGCCTGGAGATGGTTAGAAATGCAGACCTTTGGGTTCCGCCTGCCTGGTGGGAGGCACTGGAATCTGCCAGTGTCTCTGAAACATATTGATGTCTGAGAGCTTCTTTCCTGTGCAGGCAGCGGGTGTGCAGGTGTGTTGGCAGCTGGGCACAGGTGCTGTGTGTTTAACAAATGCCACAGGTGTCGTTTATATGCCACAATCGGTACTCCCTGGGGAGACTGCTGGTCGGAGACTTGTGCTGTGGAAAAGGACAGGTGCTTTTGCAACGGAGCAGGCTTGAAACAGGTGCAAGAGACCCAAAGGTTTGACTTTTATGGTTGGGCGACAGGTTGCATGAGAGATGAAAAGACCTGAGAATAGAGAGCTGGGGATGTGCTCATGAAGCAGAAGCAGTGTTGGAGGAGCCACGTGGGTATCTGCGGAACAAGGATGCCTCCAGGAGGAGGTGTTCTCTTGGGGACAGGAAGACTGAGACCCAGCTGAAGCCCTGCACAGCAGAGGCAGGTTAAAGGCAGAATGGGGGGGGGCATCCGGAGTTCTCAGGACCTGTGTGCCGAAGAACTGAGCCCTTGCAGTGGCAGAGGAGGCGATACCTAGGGTACACAGGTAAGGAATGGACAGGTGTATGGAGGCCCTGGCATGAACTTGTGCACCAAAAAAGAAGTGAGAAGCCTGGGAAATTAGAGTGTGGAGAAAGAAGTGGGTAGATACACTGAGGACAGGTGTAGAGAAACAGCTGTGCAGGTGAGACAGGTATCTGTGGCCAAGAACTGGCCAAAATTGTAAGTATTGTATGTTGTAAGAGAAGGCAAGAAACCCAGAGAGGCAGAGAGACAGACAGACAGAGACACAGAGACTGAGAGAGTCAGACACCGGTGGGAAAAGTGGGGTTCTTGTAGGAAGGCACCATAGCAGGGCAAGGAGCTGAGCAAAGAGCTTTGGTGAAGGGCAGGCTGTAACTGAGGTGCAGGTTAGGAAGCTACTACACACGCGCGTGCTCTGTGCAAAGTGCTGCGTGTGCACACACCTGTGGTGAACGGGGGTACTGCTGGAAGGCAGAGATGAAAGGCATGATCATCTGTAGGGGACAGGTGGAACAGGGCAAGGGGAGGCAGGAAGAAGAGAATGTGGCCTGAAACACGAGAGATGCAGGGATCTGGTGGAAGGGTGGAGTCCGCAAAAGCAGGTGTATTACACAGAGAGCCAGGTGAGAGGAAATGGGTGTAACCTACAGAGACCCCAAGGGAACAGGTGTGGAGAGCAAGGATCACCACCTTCGGGGGACAGGTGGAAGGAAACTGTCACCCGGAGGTGCAGACGTGGAGTACCCAAGACACAACAAGGGTGTGACAGTTATGTGGACAGATGTGACTGAGAAGTGTTACCTGATGCCACAGGTATGTGCAGCACAGCTCTGCCCTGGTGATTTGCTGCCTTACTTTCTCTTGCTTCCCTCTCGTCCCCCTCCCCAGGGGACAGCTGCAGCTCTCGGGCCCCTCCTATGGCTTGGACCCTGGGAAGGGCAAGCAGTTAGCTCTGGGCTTGGTGAGGCCCAGCCTGCTGGGCAGCCCGGGCTCCTGAGGCTGCTTGACGATGCCGAGCGCGTCTGGGGCTCGGCAGGCCGGCCAGGCGGGGGGGAGCGGGCGGGGGGGCCGTTTAGCCGTGATAGATCCGCGCGCCGCTTGTCTCTTAATCTCCGGAGCGACCGATCGATTCGCTATTTCCCTTTGTTGCCAGAAAATTCGATCCTGGGCCTGGAATTAGGTCCCCGGCTTAATCTGAGCGGAAACCAGCGAGGGGGAGACAGAGACAGAGACGTTGGGAGAGACAGAGAAGGAGAGATACAGAAGGGCAGAGACTGAGAGATACAGAGATAGAGAGATCTGAGGAGAAATGGGCACAGAGATAGGAAGAGGGTTGAACCCTAGAGATAGAGACGCTGAAAAAGACAGAGTCAGACAGATTATGGGAGAGTTAGAGATGTCACAGAGGTGCTGGGGAGAAACAGAGGCAGAGAGCCTTTAAGGAGAGACGGGGGGGGGGGGGCGGGGGGAGATGGCAGAGGCGTCCCGGAGGGGCCTGTCACTGTGGTGGAGTGATGGTAGAAAGGATGTCCCAGAGAAGTGCAGCCCCACAAGCCCCATAAAGGTCAGGCCCCTGCACTCCCTGTCCCAAAGTATGCAGACCCCAGGATTGCTCCAATATGCTTTCCACTAACCTTGTGATCCTTCACACCAAATATCCAGACCCCAAATATCCAAATCCAAATTTGCAGATACTCAGGTCTTGAACTTCGGCCCCAAATTCAGACCTCCAGCTCCCTAACTCCACACTCTCATGTTAACCCACCCCCCAATACTCTCTGCTCCAAGGAATCAGTACCCAAACCCTAATATCGATCCAGCTCTTTGGCCCTTAACAGCGGGTCTCTTTCGTCCCAAATAGTCAAGCCTTTACCCCTGTCTCCCTAAAACCCACTCTAGACCCACATATCCGGACTCCTCAGTCCCAAATATCCGGGTCCACTCTCAATTCGTCCCCAAGTACCTATTTCCAAAATCTCTGAGCCCTGGTTCCGCCCGACCCACCCGGGTCGCTCACGTGCACACCCCTGGCTGCCCTTAACCATTGCGCTGGGGTCCCAGGCCGCCCCTCCAGCACTCTCGCCCTCCCACCCCGCGCCGAGGCCCGACCTCCCCAGCACAGGGAACAGCCGCACCTCGCAGGCGACCCCGCCCCGCCCCGGCTCCGGACCTCTGGGGACCCTGTCCAGCTCCCGCGCCCCGCGCCCCCTCCCCCCTCCGCGCCTCCAGCAGGAGTCCCCGCCCCCATCCCCGCCCCTGCGCCGGCCCGCGGCGCGCACTCACTTTCCCGGCTTGGCGCGTCCGCTCCGGCCCGGGAGAAGAGTTTAAAGTTCGGGTCCCGCAGCCATGGCCCCGCGGCGTCCTGGAGAGGGGGCACCGGGCGGGGCGGGGAAGGGTGCCCAGAGCTCGGGGGACACGGGACCGAGAGGACGAGGACGAGGCGGACAGGACAGTGAGTCACTGAGACAGTGCGACACAGAGACACCCAGAGTCGGGGGACTGGCACGGGAGGCGGAGACGCGCCAAGAGAGCCGGAGCGGCGGGAAGCTGGAGCCGGGTCCGGCCGGAGGGCTGCGGGGCGCGGGCGGGGTGCGCGCCGCCGCCGCCCCCGCCTCCTCCTCGCCCTCCTCCTCGCCCTCCTCCTCCTCCTCCTCCTCCTCCTCCTCGTCCTCGTCCTCGGCCTCCTCCCTCGCTGCTCCGCGGCGCGCCTCCCGCCCTCGCGGCCGCCGGGCCCCGCTCTGCGCGCAGATATATGGAGGCGGCGGCGGCGGCGGCGGCGGGCGGCGCGGGGGAGGGGGCGGGAGCGCGATCGATGGAATATAATTTTCCTCAAACTCGGAAAATAAAGTTCAGAGCTGATCAAATTTGAAAACAGATGTCGAATCGCGACTCTAAATAAGGTTCGATCCCGGGACTGAGCAAGTAGGGTGGGGGCGAAGAGGACCCCCTCAGCTCCCCTTCCTTCCCCTCCCCTGCGCTCCGTCTCGCCCCTGCCCAGGGGGACCCGCGGACAGACGGACGGGCCCAGGGAAGGTAGCAACAGCGTGGCCAAGACACGCAAAGCTGGACTCGGGTCCTAATTGGACCCTCAAACACGCAGTCCGGATCGCTGACCCGCGGACAGAGGGCCACACGGACACAGTAACACGGACGGCACAAACGCACGCACACAGGACACAGCGGAGCCAGGACAGACACACACACAGTTAACACGCACTGCCTCTGCCCGCACAGACACAGCGAAAACAGCCTATCCACCGAGACACAGATGCCACGGAGGGACACGCAGAGGGACACGCAGCCTGCACACACATACCTACCCCGACCAAACCTACCTCTGGACCGCTCACCCACCGCTGGCCACAAGGACGCATACAGATCCACAGTAACACACACACCAACTCCTGACACAGCAGCCTAGACCCACACCCCCACCCCAACAACTGCGGAGCCCAGGCAAGCACACTGCGTTCTACTTTACACACCCAGTGCTCCCAGGCACACACACTGTACACACCGGCAGTGACTGGGAAGAGCCAGGCCCACCAGGATCTGTCTCCAAAGAAATCACAAGTACCTAGGACCAGGCCTGCAGCCTGACAGCAGACCAGCGCCCCAGGGGAGCCCCGGCCCCCCTAGACCTCACCCTTGACCTGCAGGCCTCCTACCTCTCTTGCCCTTCACATTGCTTCCCTCCTTTCCACCTCACTCCCTTGCTGAGCTTCTGAATTCATTCCCGGGCCACTGGGACAACTCCCAAGCCCCAGGCAGTCTTTTCCAGGACAGAGACAGCTGCTAGAGCCACGTGCTGCAGGGAGGGGATACAGGAGTGGATGCGGCATCTCAGGTACAACAGCCAGGCCCAAATGATGCAACAGTGGCCCAGGCAGCTGTGTGGGATCTCGCCAACCCCAAGGACTCCCAGGTGCTGACACAGAGTACTGAAGGGCTGGAGAGAGCTTCAGCCCTGCAGAGCTGGGATAGAATAGCTGCTGCCCTCCACAGAGTCCTTAAACAACCCCCAAGCCCCAGTTTTCTCATCTGTGAAATGGGTAATAATGACAGATAGGGCGGCTGGAAGGATAAAATGACAAGACATGTGTAAAGCAGTTGGTAGGATGCCAAGCACCAGTAAACATCTGCTGTGAGCATTGCTGCTTGGAAATAATCATATTAAAAATTCTTTTCTTATTAGACTGTAGAGAACACTGAAGGAGCCACAGGCCACTCCACACCAGGTAGCTGTATGTTCCTTTTCGGTTACACTTAAGACCCCTGGACAGCCACAATTCTGTGTTGTCTGCTGCAACACTGGGACAGTACATGGCCTCCTTAAAGACAGCTTACCTACTAGATGGTCTCTGAAACCTGTCCCTTTGGGTGTCTGTAACACCCTCCTGACTCTAGATGGCACTTTGCCAGGTCATAGTTCTGAGGGCTTGGAGAAGGTTCTGGAGCCCTCTCTTTGGCTAGGATTCCTCATCTGTACAGGACCCCACTGGGGAGAAAGACAACAGACACCATCTGGGTACATGTGAACCCTAGCAAGGTGTGTGCTACACCTTGCTATTGGCTACAGGCAAGACAGAACCCATCAGGGAATGAAGGACACGAACTGGACTGCATTTTATAACCACAAACTGCACCCTGGAAGACACTTGTGAAGAGAGAACACCTTCTGACCACAAGCAGCAGCACCCTTCCATCAGATAGACCACTCGGGGAAGACATAGTTCATTACACCACATAGGTACCTTTCCAGAGAGTAGAATGTCCTTCAAATGAGTGTTAGTGACACCCTGAAACAAACATCACCCAGTCCTGCTACCTAAACCTCTGCCACACCAAGGGAATCAGAAACACCCTGTTGACTGCTTGCAACACCTTCAGGTGGCCTGTGATGGTCAGCTAAGGTGTATACCACCCCCAAGCACAGCTCTGATACCCTGGAGGGCCAAGACTCATCAGATGCACATCAAGTCCCTGCAAATGTAACCAATATCTGTGTGATTGTCAGAACCCCCTCTGCTCCCCACCAGGCACCTCCCTGATTTCTGTAGCATTTTCTGTGCTGTGAATTTTAGGACTGTTTACACAGTCTCTTTGAGCTCTCTCAGAGCCTTCTTAAAGATTCCTGAAAAAGCATCGGTCAGAGTGTGCAGTGCTATATAAAGGCGCATAGTAGGTGCTCAGCAAAGCAACACAGCATTCCTGGGACGGGGTGTCATACCACTCCAGACTCTGTTCACTCTAGCAGCAGTGCCAACACCTACTTGCCTGAAGGAAGCTTGTCACGGGAGGGGGATCATTAAGCTGTAGTTAACATCCCCAGGGAGGCTGCAGGAGCAGAAAGCTGTAGTTAAGACCCTGCATAGAGAGGACGCCCTCAGGGAGTTTAATACCCCCTAGGAGAAAGGAGAGAAGGAGAGGGAGGAGGGAAGGGAGAGGCAGAGAGAGAGAGAGAGAGAGAGAGAGAGAGAGAGAGAGAGAGATCCTATCAGCCTGCAGCACCCCATGGACTGAATTTATTACCCACAAAGGCAAGAGAGCATCTCTGATCAGTAAAAGCCGGTCAGCCTCCAGGCCCCAGGAGTGAGAGGACTCTCCCAAGGGCTGCTGCCTCCCTGAAGAATGCTTTCTAAACTTACTCCGGGAGCAGGGCTAAGAGAACGGTGAAACTAGGGTGAGGGGAGCTGACCCCAGCCCCAAGAGTCCATCACCCCGACAATCTGCACCACAGCCCTCCACGGAGACTAGAGGGGGTGGTTAAGTGTTGAATGGGGTTGGTGGAGGTGGGGCCAATTAGCACTTGGGTGGTCCAGTCCCGCCCCTGCTGGGTGCCAGCCTGAACTCCCTACGTAGAGTGCTTCCTTCTCCCAGCAGCCGGTGGGGTTGGGTAGGTGCTGTTCTCAGTGTTGTCTCCCATTTTATCCGTGAGGAAACTGAGGCGCACCAGTTGCTTGCCCACTGTGACACAGTGTTGGAAGTGAGTGATTGGGTGTGGCGTTTGTTCTTAACCACCCAGTTGCACACATTCCTGGGGCCTGGGAAACGGGAACAGCTCAAACCGAGACCAGACGCCCCCATCACCCCAGAGCCAAGTCCACAGCTCCCCACAGTCCTGTGTCTTCCAGAGTGGAGTGCCTACTCCACTGTTATCCCTGCAGGGCTCGGGCTCCCTGAGGGCAGGGCCTATGTCTGTTCTCTTTGGGTCCTCACAGAGAGCAAAGTCTGCCCTCTGGGGACAGAGGAAGGAGGCTGGGAGGAGGTAAGGGAACTCTGGGCTTTTTGGGGCTGCGGTTCGGGATGCCCGGGAGAGCCTAGGGAATTGGGGGGGTGTCGGCTGGGGGAGGCGCAGAAGATCCTCATTCCCCTCACTCTAACCCGGCTTGAGAGGGTCTCCAGAAGGTGGGGAAGGATGAAGGCAAAGGAAGAAGCTCAGAGAAGACAGACAGCCACGGAGCGGAGAGGCTGGGTGTGAGTGTGTGAGTGTGTGTGTGTGTGTGTGTGTGTGTGTGTGTGTGTGTGTCAGGAATCCAAGCTGGGACTGGCCGGGACAGCGTCCTGAGGAATGGTGGCTGAGGGTGTGGGGAAGATCAGTGGCCAGATGGGGAAGGGTCTCAGGGAAAAGACAGCCTTAAGCTGGGGGCTGAGGAAGGGAGGACAGGCAGATGGCAGGGGAGAGCGACCTCGGGTGAGGGAGGACAGGCAGAGGGCACTCCGGAACTGGTGGATGGGTGGACAGCGGGACAGCCCCAGTGGCGTGGCCCGTGAGGCCGGGGCCAGGCCGAGGGCTCGCGCGGTGGCAGCCAGCGCAGGGAGGCGGAGGCTGAGTGAGCGGCGGTGTTTGTGGAGCTGTCGGCTGCGGTGGAATTATGAAAAATAGCAGGCATCGGAGCCGGCCTTCAGCTTCGATTAGGGGAGATGGGACATGACAGGTGCGATCAATACGCAGCCGTTCTATAAAGTGTCAAGTAATGAATCAATTTCGACTAAATTTTCCATTTTTCAGAGGCCGTTCTCCGAGAGAAGAATATCCTCTTTTGTAAAGATATTATTATCGATTTCGGCGGCAATTTGACATCAGGGGTAGTTAATTCCACTCAGAATAAAATTGAAAACACTTGAGAGAGAAAAGAGAGAGGCGAAGAGTGAGACAGAGAGGGAGAGAGGGGGAGGGAGGGAGGGGCGGGGGGGGGGGGGAGATGGATGGACAGAGAGACAGAGATGGAGACAGAGAGAGGGACAGAAGGGACAGAAGGGAGAGCGCTGAGATTGGGGCGCAGGGAAGGAGGGAGGGAGGGGGAGAGAGCGAGAGAGGGAAACTTGGAGGGAGGAAAGCCTAGAGTTACACAGAGACAGAGACCACTGAGAGAGACTCAGAGACCCCAGAGACACAGACAAGATAAAACAGAGACAATAAGGCCGTGTGCCACAGAGACAAATTGAGGGTGTCTCAAAGGGGAAAACCCAGATGTTGGTGACTGGCCACAGAGGGGCCAAGCAATGTTCAAAGGCAGATTCAGAGAAAGAGCAACATGGAGGAAGAGGCAGGAGAAACAGACTGAGAGAGACGCAGGAGAAACACAAATGGAGCCTGAGAAGGAGAAACTTGATAGTTGGGGAGAGATGCTGAGGGTGGTATATATATCACAGAGGACAGAAAGGGAAGAGAAGGGATGGGGAGCCCTAGCCACTGCCAGAGGCCAAGAGCAGGGAGCTGAGGGAGACATCAAGGGGCAAGGCCTAGAGTCCACAGAGACTAATGCAGAGTGACCCTTCTGCCCTACCCACCTCCTATGCTGTCCTCCAAAGTCACAGTGATAGGCGAAGCTCAGTGTGTGTGTGCAGGTTTCTGTGTAGGCCCAGGGTCTGACTGGGGTTGCTTGTGGGAAAGCGACTGGGGTGTAGTTCAGGACAGGAGTCTGTGAGCACACATGTCCCTGACTTCTGATGTCTCTGTGTGTCCTTGCCTGCCCACTCAATCCCATTACCTGTGTGTTTCCTGGAATCCATCTGTGTGTCCCCATTCCTGTGCCTGTGCAGCTGTGGGTCCCTGGCCTGGCAACCCCCTGGGATTCAGTAGCAGACAGTGGTGACAACATTTCTGGTTAGTGGCTGTCAGTCCCATGGCTGAAATCTCCATTTATCCCTGAGCAGGTCACCGGCTGCCTGGGAGAAGAGATGGGGGAGGAAGCTGGCAGAGGACTCCTGAGTCTGAAGAAGGAGGGCTGAGGCCTGAACACTGAATGAACAGGCACAGCGGACAGACAGGCAGTGTGAGTGATGCTGGCCCAGAAGCTCCCGAGAGCATCCCTGGCCTCCCCAGCCTAAAAGGCTGTGCCTGCTGCCCCCTAGTGGACATGGAATTATGCCATCCCAGGGACAAGGAATTGACCTGTCAAAGCACCCCAGGAGGGAATGGAGAGACACAGACGCAAGTGAAGTGGACACTGAGACCAGATATAGACACAAGAGAGAGGCGAATAGAGAGACAGAAGGTCAAGACAGAGGACTGAGACCCTGGTTGAAATAGAAAAGAGACAGAGAAGGGTCAAGGAGACAGGACATGAATAGAGGGACAGGGAAAGATGGGGGGACACCCATGGACGGGGGCAGAGAGTGAGAGACACAGCAAGCTGCTGGCAGGCAGATGGGGTGGGGGGGGGCAAAACCTGTGTGAGAGAGGAGATGGAGGTCATGTGAACAGGGCAGTTGGGGTGGCAGAGGGCTTGGGGATAGGTCTAGAAAAGGAAGAAAACCCAGGGGACAGGCAGACAGAGAGAGCCAGAGGTGCAGGAGGACACAGAGAGAAGGGCAGACATTTGTGGCAAGAGGACAGAGAGGAAGAAACAGGCGGACACACCCAGAAAGACAGAAAAGAAATGGGAGAGGAGACACAGAAAGACAGACAGCCAGGTGGACAGAGGGATATGGAGAAGTCCGGGCCCTCAAAGCGAGGCTGACGTGCAGCAGAATGGTATGTGGGGACGAGCCCTGACCAGAATGAGGGGAGCCTGTGACTTGCCAGAGGTTCCAGGCTGGGGTGGGGGGCTCCTGTGGCAGAGCTGAGGCCAAGGGCTAGGAATGGGGCTCTCCTGGCTGGGGTCTCTGCCTGCCACCCTCTGCTAAACCCCCCCCCACCCGGTGGGCTGCCCGGCGGAGGCGACAGATTGAGCGATGAGACGCATTACGCACTTAATCCGCCTGATTGAATGTTTTGCTTTCGCCCAAATTGAAACATTAAACAACACGGGACGAGAAGAGGCGGCCGCAAATCACTCATGAAAGATTCATCTTCTCCCAGGCAGCCACCACCACCCGCCTCCGCTGCTGCCCACCCCAGCCAGGAAGCCTCGAGGTGGGGGTGGGGGCTGGGCCACACCCCTGCCCATTTTGCGGGGGTCCCGACCCTCATGACCCAGGGAAACCCTACCTACTGTCTGGCCTGGATCCCACAGGTGGTCTGAGATAGGGACCCCAGCTTTCCCATCAGGCTGGGCAGCGTGACCTTGGTACTGTCCCTGCTTCTCTTATAGGAAGAATCTGCCCTTTGAGTCTCCCTCTCCAGCTCTCTGGGGGTCTGTCTGGGTTCTGGACCCAGAAGTAGGGGTGGTACTTGGGGTACCAGTGGGACAGGAGGTGATCATTAAGTCAGGATGCATGGAAATGAGGGCCAGGGAGTGCAGGTTTGTCCTGCACCACTCAGGAGCCCCATGTGTCTGTGTGTCTGTCTCCTGCATGGATGACTGTATTATCTGTCTCTGTCTTGCTCTGTGTCAGCGTGACTCTCTTTGTGAGCGTGCCTGGCTCTCTATGTCTTACCCCTGTGCCTGTGTGATCCTGTGTATAATAACCCTGTAGGCCTATGGGCGTTGGTCCGCCAGTGTCTCAGTGTCACTTTCTCTGTGCGCCTCGTCTCTGGTAGGCAGTATTTTTGTGCGGGTGTTTATGTTGATGTGACTTGCAGGGTGTGACTGTGGGGACTTCCTGTGTTGCATCTGCAGGTGCCTGTGTTGTTCTGTTCAAGTATCTGGATTTGTATCTATCTCTGTGTTGCTTGCTCCAGGTCTTTCTGTGGGTTTGGATTTAACTATTTCTGTGTCTGGGCCTGTTTGCCCATCTGTGTGTCTCCGAGTTTCTGTGTCTCTACCTCAGTCTCTGCCTGTCTCTGGCCAAGGGGGTACCCAGCTGAGACCAGAGAAGTCACCAGAAGGCCAGAGTGGAGAGAAGCTGGAGGAGAGGAGGCACAAGAGACAGAGAAAGACAGGACAGCAGTGACGCCGGAGAGCAGGGGAGCAGGGAGCAGGCGCAAGGCAGTTAGGGGGGCATCGTGGGCGCCACGGCCGGAGCGGGTGATCAATATTCGATTTAGGTTTTAATTCCGGGGCTTTCGGAGCCTGTCAGCCCTGATGTATGAGCTCACACCGGGGCCGCCCAGCCAGCCACCCCACCGATGCCCATGGCTTGGTGGCCTGTTCTGGCCCCAGCTCTCTTGCCCCTCGGCTGTGGGCTACAATAGAAGGGAAGGGGATGGGCTGAGTGAACTTGAACTAGTGCCCCTCCAGCCCCTGCTCCTGCATCCCCCACTGGATGCTGGGAGACTGCAGGGCCCTGAGGTCCTCACTGTCTCTGGGGCCCCCAGGAAGTCCTGAAGCCTGCCTGTCAGCCCTGGTCACACATATCCAAACACACAAATGCCCATTACAGGCACACACGTTCCTGTGGCTCACACGTTCCTGTGCACACACAAAAACTAACACATGCACGCACCCAACATACATGTATCTACACACATCCCTGCATTCACATGTGGACACACGAATGCTAACACACACACATCGACAAATCCAGTATACACGTGTATCCACACATTCCTGGATTCACACATCTGTACAAACTCTGACACACATATACAAACCCAACATGGATGTATACACACACACCTCTGAACTCATTCATGTGCACACACAAATTGACACATACCCTTTGACACATGTCCAGAAACAAATCCAGTCATGTATACATGTGTTCACATACACAACCTCAAAGTCCACAGTATATATTTATAAATGCACCGCATTAAGGGGAAGTAGGAACAATGGGGAGACAGCATTCTGGCCAGAAACAAGAGATACAGAAACTCAGAAAAAAAAAAAAAAAAAAAAAAAGACTAAAATGACAGGCGCAGGAGTTGCAGATTGATCAAGAGCAAATGAGAAAATCTCAAAAAGTAGGAACAGGTGCAAAGCCAGCAGCAGCAAGGGAGGACACTGGGGTAGGGCAGTGAATAGGGCTCAGTGAGTGGGGGAAAGTGGGGACAGGGAGCCCCCCTTCTTCCGATGCCCCCCCAACCCTGTCTCTCTCAGGAAGATGGATCCACCGCCCTCCCTGATGACAATGCTGTCTGCGCAAACTTTAATTAACACTTTGAGTTAATTAGTTCGAGATCATTTAGGAGTAAAATGTTTTTATTAGGGAGGCTGCGAGGCTGTTGATGGATGGGGCGCGATTCGCTCTTCCGCCTGCGGGGACAGCCGGTAAACAGAAATCAATCAGAGGCCTCCCAACCCAGCACCCCCCACCCACCCAAGGCGAGCTCCCAGCCTAGGACCCGGGAGTCCAGGGCACCGGGGCCTCATCCTCCCCCCAAGAACCCAGGACTCTCGACCCAGCACCTCCTCCATTAGATTCAGTTTAGGACCTCGGCCCCCACCTCTCTGACACCTAAGGGTCCATCCTCAGCCCTCCTCCCTCGGGTGGCCCACTGGTCCCCCTAGACCAAGAACCTTTCTCCCAGAGCAGGTTGGATTCACTGTTGGGGGCTCCCTAGGCTGCTTGTCGCACTCTGCCCTTAGGTCACTCTCGGGGTCCCCGGAACTTTCTCTGCCCGTCTCTAGCTGCCCTGCTGCCTGGCCGTCCGGACCGCAGCCCCTCGGCCGGTGACGGCTTCATCAGGTGTCCGCCGCGGGGCGGGGGCGGGGGCGGGCAGGCTCGGGGAGGCCGGGCCGGGGCGGGGGTTCCGAGGCCGATAAATCTTCATCAGGCGGCGGCGGGGGGGCCATTAGGCGCTAATGGGAAGATGGAGGGGCCTGTCGGCCGCGCGGGCCGGGCCTCATTTGTCCTGCTTCCCGCTCCATTGGCCGCCGCCCCCGCCCCGCCCCGCCCCTCCCCCACCGCCGCCGCCGGCCCCATTTCCGCTCCAAACCTGGGCCAGGGGCCTTGGGGGTGGGGGTACCCCGGGGAGACCCGGCGGGGTGAAGAGGAAAGGACTTGGGACTCAGGGGCGGGATCAGCAAAGGAGGCGGGGGCCGGGGCGCCCGCGGGCCCAGGCGCGGGGGCACTCGGCGCTCCCAGGAGGCGCGGGGCGCGCAGGGGCCGCAGATCCGAGAGGGGGCGCCGGCCCGCGGCGAGGCGGGGGCGGGCTTGGAATTGGGCAGAGGTCGGAGCAACGGCCCGGCCCGCAGGCCGGGCGCCCAGGAAAGTCCCCTGGGGCCGAGGCGCGGGCCCCCCGCCCGTCGCCGCCGCCGCCCGCTCCCGGACTCGCGCCCCCCGCGCGTCCACTCTGATTTCTCGGCCCATTTTTCTTCCTCTCCTGTCACTCTGGCGCTCGCCCTCCCGCCGCCGGCCGCCCCGCCGCGCTCCGCTTCCCGCGGGAACCCCAGCTGCAGCCGCCACCTCTCCCCCCACCCCCGCCCCGGGCCCGGAGCCACAGCGCCTGCCTCATCCCGCGCGACCCCCGAGGTCCTCGCCGGGACCACGCGGCCTAGGCGTGCGACACCCGCCCCCGCAGTGTCTTATCTCCCGGTCACTCTCTGGAGAAGCCCAGCCATGGGGGTCAGCAGTGAGCTGGCACGCCCCACCCCCAAGTGCTGGAAGCCAATTGCTAGGACTGCTGGGCCCGAGTGTCAGATTCTCCTAAAAGAACAGTGTGGATACCCACAAATCAGACCCGTGAACGTCAGACCTAGACCTCTAGCTGGATTATCCCACATCACATAAACACACCCCAGAGTCAGAAACACCTGGTCACCTGGCCTCATAATCCTAGCACTTAGAGCCTGAGGCAGGAGGATTGATACCAGTTGGAGGCCATCCTGGCCTATAAAGTGACTTCAAGTCCAGCCTAAACGGCATAGCCAGAGCCTACAAAAAAAAAAAAAAAAAGGCTGTACACCTACTCCTACACACCCCAAATGAGGGTTCCAGGCTTTGGGCCAAGTCATCTCAATACAAGGCCTTTAGGCCACAACATCTATGACAAGTGAAATGGGCCTTAGCTTAGTCACCCCTAAATAAGTACTGGTAATTTCCTGAGTCACCCATAAATTAGGCAGTCACCCCAAAATTAGGCATCAAAGTTGGCACACCTAAATGAAGCTTTCCTCATTGAACTCTAACAAGCATCTGAAACCCGAAGTAAATTACCCATGATCTGGACAAATGGGCCCAATCACTGCATTCAGTCTGTGACTTTTTCTCAACACACTCAAACTAGAATAGGGGATTGGCTGGTGTGCACTTGTGATCCTAGCACTCTAGGAGGCTGAAGCAGGAGGATTGAAAGTTTGAGGCCAGCCTGGGCAATTTAGCAACTTAGTGAGACCCTGTCCCAAAATAAAAGTGCCAGCAATATTAAGACAGTAGTAAAGCACTTGCCTAGCAAGTGTGAGGCCCTGGGTTCAACCTTCAGCATCGGGAGGGAAAAAAAGACATTAAAAAGATATGTGTACTTCTTTTTTTTTTTTTTTTAATTTTTATTGATACCAGGGATCAAACTCACAACTGCCTGCTTGCAAGGCAGGCGCTTATGCTGCTGAGCTAAATCCTTTTGCAGATGTAATTTAGAGACTGTGTGTGTGTGTGGGGGGGGGGTACTGAGTCTCAAACCCAGGGCACCTTAGCACTGAGCTTTATCTCCAGCCATTTTGGATTCATGTTGAGACAAGGTCTTGCTAAATTGTCCAGGCTGGGCTGGAATTTACAATCCTTGAACCTCAACTACTCAAGTAGCTAGGATTTACAGGCATGTGCCGCTGGGGCCAGCTAAGGGAATGCTCTTGAGATTAGGTCACTCTGGATTTCCTGGGTGGGCCCTGAAGTCACTAATGAGTGTCCTGATAAAGCACAGAAGACAGGGCAGAGAGAGAAGCAAAAAGCCATGTGACGTTGAGGCCAGAGGGCTGCAGCCACAGGCCCAGTGATTCTGGGAACCACCAGAAGCTGGGAAGGATTTGCCCTGGGAGGATACAGGGGAGGTGTGTCCTGTCCCACCTTAATTTTGGGCTTAGAGCCTTCAAATTTTGAGAGAATGAATTTCTGCTGTATATTAGACCACCAAGATTGATACAGCAGACATAGGAAACTAATATAATGCTCAAACCAAGTCTCGGGACTCCCAGACTGATTCAGTGATTCCCCCTACTATGCCCCCAAAATAAGGATGGGGACTGTCACAATCACATGCTCCAAACTAACCTCAGTTCCCTGGACTAAGCTTTTGGGTCTCAGACCAGTTATCTAGCATTGTAGCACTTGGGACCCAAAGTCACCCTGAAATTTGTTAGCTATGCCCAGAGTCTCATTCAGCTCTCAGGACCATCATGGAAATAAGCATCAGGCTCCTCCCACACATCCAACCTGCTGGCCACCACAGCTTCCCCAGAGGACAATGACACTGAATCACAGCCAAAGGAGGCGGCTGGGCCTCCAGGCTCAGCACCCTGTAAGTAAAATAAGCACTCAGGCCTCCCTAGTGTTAAACTCTAACCTGTGCATCTGAACCCCAAGAGCAGTCCCTCTTGAACTAGATATTGAGACCCTGAAATTAAGCTACTCCTAATTAGACATCTGGGCTCCCCAGGATCTGGGTCTCCCTGTCAGTCATTCCTAACTAGGAATCTGGAGGATTAGCCTTGGACACCCCACATCAGGCAACAACACCCCAAACTCCATCATGCCTAAGCTAGATACAAGGAACAACAGGTACCTCACACCTTAGCAAATGGGTCTTGAAGCTTAGTGAGCCCCAAATTGAATGGAAGTACTATACTAGGAACTCATAACCAGTAACCCCAAAACTAGGTATCCAGTCACCTCATTCCAAATGCCTCCTCACAAGGACAACCCTCCAAAGAGGCCCCTGCTGACAGTCAACCCAGAGTGATGCTGGGGTCACCACTGTGGTCACCCTTCAACTGGACAGCAGGCATGTGGACTCCCAGTTGGTCACCCAAGCCTCAGCATTTGGGCAGTGTATGTTAGGCCCACTTTAGTTTAACCTCTAAATTAGATGCTTGTTTTTCATCAGCTACCCATAGACTAAACCTACTTGAAATCTAAGCCCCAGATTTGCTCACACCAATCTAGAGCTCTGAACTTGCTAGCCCAATCTCCTCATTTTGATGGTGTGGTAAGTCACTGCTAGGTTGGATTTAGGGCCTTAGCTTTTGTCAGTGTTCAGATTAGAATTTAGGCCACAATCTCCTTTGCCCCTACCTTCAGGGCCCTACATAGAGAGCCCGAAGAGGGGCTCAAATTAGGCATCTGACTCCAGTCAGTCACCCACAAGTTCACCATCCAGCCTCCTAGCCTCAGATATGCACCAAACCATGACCTGGGGCCCACGCTCAGTGATCCCCGAACTGGGCACGAAAATTCTAACCTGTAGTCAACTCTGAAGTAATCAATAGGACTTCAGAATCAACACATGGGCTGCTAAACCCGGTCACCATCACAAACCCTAAAGCCAGGTGCCCTAAACTTGACAGATGAGTCTCAAGACTCACAGCAAACTTGGCAGGTGAAACACCACAGGAAGTCACTTCTGAGCTAGACCCTGGGGTCCCCAACTGTCAACTGTCATTACTAATATGAACATGGGTAGCTCCCCATAACACCACAACACTGGAGACATAGTTAGCCCAGCTGTCTGCCACCCACTTCAGGAAGCTGGTCCCCAGACACCTGGCAGGAGACACTCTGGTCACTTCAAACTTAGTTCCTTGTTTTTTCTACTAGAGACTGAATCCACTGAGATACATACCAGTCTTTTTCTTTACTTGTCTTTGTTTAAACTTCTTTTTAATCAGCAATAGAGATTAATGGGTTTCATTTTGGCAAGTTTGTGCTGGTACATACCATACTTGGGTCACTCCCCCTATTCCTTTCTTGCCTTGTCCTCCCCCAGTTCCACATTTTTGGGGGGTTCAATGCATATAATGTACTTAGACATGTGTACTGGTCACACACATCCCCCCACCTTCCACGCCTCCTACTCTTATTCCCATGCCCCCGTCGAGTAATAGTCTTCTACTTACATTTTTTTTTGGATTCCACATGTTAGACAGAACAGTCAATATTGGTTTTTCTGAGTCTGGCTTATTTTACTCAACATGACAGTCATCAGGTCTATTCATTTTCCTACAGATGACAGGATTTTATTCTTCTTTATGGTTAAATAATACTCTGCTGTGTATATATACCTTGATTTCTTTGTCCATTCATCTGCTGATGGGCTCCAATGCTGGTTCCATATCTCGGCTGTTGTGTGTTATGCCACAATAATTGTGGTATGCAGGTATTCCTGTAGTATGCTGCCTTTAATTCCTTAGGGTATATCCCAAGGAGTGGTGTGGCTGGTGATTCTATTTTTAATTTTTTTTTGTCTTTTTCCTTTTTATCGGTACCAGGGATCGAACTCACAACTACCTGCTTGCAAGACAGGTGCTTATGCCGCTGAGCTAAATCCCCAACCCCCTATTTTTAATTTTTTGAGGAACCTCTACATTGAGTCCTAGAGTGGCTATACTAATTTGTGCTCCCACCAGCAGTGTAGAGCAGTTCATTTTTTCTCCACATCTTTGAGCAGATTTATTGTTTTTTGTCTCCTTTAATTTTATTTTTTGTGACACAATAGTTGCATTTATGCTGGGGAATTGGTACATATGATATTGTATTTTTTTTCCAAGATAGGTCTTGCTAAGTCGCTAAGTTAACCAGGTTCAGGTTGAACTTGCATTTTTCTTGCCTCAGCCCCTGTTGTAGTCAGGGGTTGTACACAGAGAGCAATTCAGATCAGGACATGGAGCTTATAATATTTTTATAATGGTCACCGGAAGTTAACAAAGGAGAATGCGGGAAATCTATCTGCAACACCAGCGACATAGATTATTTAGTCAAGAGTCTAAACCCCATGGCAATGTCCCAAATGAGTCCAGATAAAAACCCAGAGCTCAGGACAATGCCTCCACGAGTCCAACTGGAAGTCCAGAGCCCACAAGAAGGACTCACGCCAGTCTCTTTTACGGATTCGTGCTGGGAAGACCCAAGGGTCAGCGGTGGAAGCCAGAAAGTCTATGCCAGCAGGATGAAGGAGCTGTGCTAGTGGGATGAGGGTTCTACGCTGGAGCTGAGAAGTCACACAATAAAGAGCGGGCTATCCTGAAAGGCACCACAGCTGTCCTCAGCGACACAGAGGCCCCGAGCTCCTCCTCCGACAAGCACAGTCGGGTACGTGCCAGGAAGCAGCGTGATGAGTTCATCCTGGAGACCAGGCAGCACATGTCTTCCCCTCCGGAGCCAGGAAGCAATGCTCGATGTGAAGACCAAAGCTTCTCTAGGAGAACCAACAGCTCAGACAGCAACTCGTAAGAGAACCCACAATGACTCCTTCACATCTCAATCCCTCCCAACA